AGAGAAGAGACGTTTCGCTTCTGAAGCCTCTTTTCATGAATTCCTATTTGATATACCATTCCACTGGGCAGTAATGAAGTCTATACTTTATTGACTGCACTGTGCTGGTATTTATCAGTAACCTCCACTTAGACGAGGCAGTATGAGACAGTGGGGAGAGGTTTAGAGTCCAGAGAAACTTCCTCACCCTGGTTCTGAAGGTTCCTGTGTGACATAAAAAATTTTTCTTAAACACTTGAAGTTTTAATTTCCTTTTCTGTAAAATGAACACAATAATAGCTGCCTCATAGGATTATATCAGATATTAGTTGCAAAATAACTAGCATACAGAAATGCTCAATAAATATCCCTCTTCTTTTCTCCATCTCTGTGTACAACCTGTTGGACCTGAAGAATTTGTAAGTACTAGACATGACGAATAAAGAAAAAGTGCTTTTGTTTGGCAACATCCTATAGAAATTTTGTTTCCTCAAATGTCAACTTTTGTCAATGTCATAATGTTAGTTTTTCAACATATTCTTGGAAGACTAAAATTGTTTATAGATGCTTCAGTCTGCAAACTTAAGAAATAAATCCAAATAAATTGTCATTCTTCAGTCACGAAGGTTATCAACACAATTCCTGAAATTCAGAACTCCCTGGTTTCAATTCTTTTGCTTGTCACTAGACCACTTTTTTTTCTTCAATGCCAAAAAAGAGGCATTTTGTTCAGAAGGAAATTAATTAGTCTCTTTTTCAGTTTCAGCAAAAAGCACATTTATTATATGTTCAACAACATTGTATTCACTTTTTACAACTGAGAATATTTAAGGGATTTTGTTATATTTAGAGAAATTTTTCATCAACCAGAGATTTAGCAGCCACCAAAGAGAACTCCACAATTAATCTTTTTTAACATGGGTGTGACTTATAATCTCTACACTAAGAAAAAAATTATTAAATATAAGGGGAAAACTGTTCATAAACTGTAATATTTCTTGGCAAATAAAAACTGCTTTGTATTTTTAAAGATATGGTTGAGAATTTAAATGAAACTTACATGCTTGAAATCAGTGCCAGATGCAACACAATTCAAGCACAATTCACTGGCTGCATCAGGTATTTCACTATGATTTAGTAAAAGATATTCAACAATTCCTTGTTTCACAGAAATATCACAAATACAAGTATTTCATTCACAAAATGCATGGCTTGGCAGGTTTCCAGGGTAGGAATTTGCTGGATGAAAGGTAAATTTATTGATTAAAATAAATCAAATGACTGACATCTCCCCTAGAAAACTAGCAAAATAATACTATTCAGAAACTGAAGGGCCGGCCCGGTGGCGCACTGCTACAGTGCGCCGCTTGGGAGTGCGGCGACGCTCCCGCCAAGGGTTCGGATCCCTCTTACTTTCCCGCCGCTCACTGGCTGAGCGAGGTGCGG